TAAAGTTTGATACACTTTGTTTATATTCTCAAATAAACTTCTTTTGAATCTGCTGGTATTTTCTATTTTTTGAATTTCTCGATTTTCTTCTCTGTATTTTTGGGGGTGGTGGGGGTACCAGGAATCAAATTCAGGACCTTGTGCCTTCTAGGGAGGTGTTTGTTCCCCTGAGCTACAGTCTTGGCCTCAGCTCCTCTACTTTTTATTACTTTTCTTACACTTGCTTTTAGTTTAGTTTGTGTTTCATTTTTCAGATTCATAGATCTTGCCTTTGTTCTATTACATGCATTTAATACTGTACATTGTTTCTTCCTAGTTATTTGCTGTGGCCCCATATTTTAATATGTTGAATTTGCATTCATTTCAAAACTGTTTTTCAATTTCTCTAAAAATAGTTTGACTGATGCATCAGGGATATGACCAATATCTAAAAAGATGGAAAATTTAAAGCTGACTTTCTGTTATTGATTACTGGTTTGAATCTGTTGTAATCTTAAGATGTTACTTTGGTTCTTATTCATTAGATTTTTTCAATATATACTTTATGGCTAAGAATGGTCTATTTTAGTAAATGTTCCATGTGCAGTGGACATGATTACGTATTCTGTTGTCACTGGCTAAAATGTTCTATAAATTTCAGTTAGATAAATTTGATTGATATGTTTATGTCTTCCATACACTTTCTAATTTTCCACTTGCTTTATCTACCAATTACTGAAAGAAGAGTGTTGAAACATCTAAACAGAATTATGTAAGGTTTTGCCAATTGAATTTCAATGAATGTTGTTAAGCGCATGTATGTTTAAGATTGTTATATCTTTTAAGGGAATTGACTACTTTAGCATTGTATATCTTTTTCATACCTTAGTCATCTTGTTTGAAAATTCTCCTTGAAATTATTGTACTAAAGGTACTCCTATGTTGCTTTGTTTGATACTAGCAAGACATTTCTTTTCATGTCCTTTTACCTTTAATTGGTATGATTCTTAGTTTCTTATAAATAATATATAGCTGGATCTTGCTTTATTTTTAATTAAATGGGACAATCTCCTGTAACACATTTAGGGAAGTTCACATTTAAAGTTGATTATGAATACAGAAGTAAATATTGCTGTAGTGAAGTAAATGCTATGACTTGTTTTGTCTTGTGGCACTGTGGATTCAATGTAGAGTTCTCAGGCTGAGCTATATGGCAAGCTCCTCCCCACATTTGTGAGACAGGTTTTTGTGTTAAATTCCCAAATTGTGTGGGCAAGGTTCAGACTGAAGATCCTCCAGACATAGTCTGACAGAGTACTAGTATTAGTGGTGTGCATCACCACGTCCAACCCTCCTTCAATGTTTCAGGACAGTTTTGCTGGGTGGGTGTAGTTATTGGCAAGGCTTTATTATTGTTTTATTTTTCTCTTTGCTCTTTAAAGAATGGGTTGTACTATCTTCTGCTTTCATGCTTTTCTAATGAGATATAATGAATATCCCCCAAGATTATCACTTTTGTGATTCTCTGTAGTTTAATGTCATCTGACTACATTTAGATTTTTGGTATTACATTTCTATGAGTTATCCGAGTTTCATAGATCTATAATTTGTTTGCTGTCACTAGTTTATTTTTGTGTTTGATTTTTTGGGGGGCATTAGCGTTCTCAGGTATTCTTTTCTTTTTTGAAAAAAAAACTTTATTGAGAAACAACACTGAGACAGTTTCAAAACTGATTAATAGGACAGTTTTAATAAATAATAACTTGCATATTGTTGTCTTCATAGTGCTTATTCATAGTACAAGATGCAGACATGATATCCTGTCCAAACACTATTATTTTCTTAAGTATGAATTTTTCCTTCCTCTTCTCTTTGAAAGATTTTAGATATTTTAGTTGTACATCTGTTAACCCTCTTGTGATCAAGGTGTCAGCATTTTTAGGCCTAAGTGAGAGCTCATTCGTAGGATGCAAACTGCTGTCATTTTGTATTCTTGTGTGGTAAAGAGATCCTCAGGGAGCTTCTTATTAGGGTGTTAATCCCGTGACAACGACCCCACCCTTATGATCAAATCATGTCCCAAAGACGCCACATCCTCTGCCATCTCCAACATTCAGTTCATAAAGTGTCATCTCACTAAGCCATTCAAGGGAAGCTTTTCTCTAAATTCATCTTGATAGCAGAAGCTACTTAGGCTTCTCTAAACTATTTCGGTCCCTCGTTCCCATTCCTTGCATCTGAAGCAGTGGAAGTGGGAACGAGGGATAAACCTCCCCTAAAAAACCAACTAAAAAAATACAGCAAAAATCAAAACAGACCAAAAGCAAACAAGACACTTGAAACGTGTTTTCAGAATCCCAGTCGAAAAGGATGTGCTTCGATATTTGAGTTTTCAAAGCTCTCATAAAATTTTGTGACCACTCAGGACTTGTGGTTATTTTCAGTGCTATCCTTGCTAATATTAAATTATTCTTCCTTAGTATAATATAGTGGTGTTCTCTTTCCAAAAGTTTGTTTTAAAATGCTGTTTTTCATCTTAGGAAATTGCTTATCAAAATTTGTCCTTCTCATTGGATTTTCTGTGACATGCTGTGTTTCTCGTTCAGGAGGGACAAGCCAAGAGTTCAGAAAACAAATTTTCATCACAGACCTTCTGTATTTCAGGGCAGAATTTCCTGGAGTGTATTTCAGATTTGCATTAGCAGCACAGTATTTCAACTTCATTTTCTAAGAATGTTATAAATTGTGATTTTTGAGATCTCAGTTGACCCCGTCAGTTCTACAATTTAAACAAAAATATAACCACACCACCAAAGTTATGTGAGAGTAAATATTTGGTTGTTTGAAATTCTTAAGAAAGGAAAGAGGCTATAAAAACTTTTTCATGGACTTTAATGTATCAAGAACAATAAGAAGGAATTTAACACATTTTTGAGGACATCATTCTATATTGCAAAGTGTAAAATTTACAATTATAATAAAACATGTTAGTCATTTATGCCATTTGCCAATGACATAAAAATAAGAATCCTTTTAAAAAAGATTTTCTTATCAAATCTCTACTATAGATACAATGAAAAGAATAAAAACATTTAGGGAATATATCACTGGAGAGTCAAGTTTATACTTGGTAAAAACTGTTTCCATGAGACAAGCTTATCTTTAGCTGTAGATGTCATCAGCACACACTGGGTTGTGCAAATAATTCCAAAAGAATTATACATCAAGTAAATAATTAAAAACAATGAAAGCAGAATTTAAAAGTAATAAGTGGAACCTTAGTGAGAGAGGCTGGATTGGGACTGGGCAGCAGAACTTTTGGCAGAGACCTAGCAAGCTAAGCCAGGAGTGGAACATCGAGCCACCAGGGCACCACAAGTTCACTTCCATGGGCTGTAACAGGGAGAAGCTGAGCACAACAGCCAGACCAAAGCCAGGCCCAGCTGGTCCTGTTTCAGTTTGCTAGATCTTGACCTGGTGAGCTGTGGCATACTGTTAGGCCCAGTGGGGTGCAGATCTAGATCCAGATCTATGGGAACATCCTCTCAAGACAGAGGAGGCAGCAGGTAACTGGGGTAAAATAGCCTGCCTGGAAGACTCCAGGTACATCAAGGGGAGGTGATCACACAGAACTTAGGGGAACTACTTTAAATACAAATTCCCCATTTAATATCTGCTTCGCTATATAGCCATATTGTTTGCTATGATTCTCTAAAATATAAACTCATTAGTTACAAAGTTTATCAATTGCTAAATCTCACTACCCATTATTAGTGCTTCTAATTGTATTACTATAAAGAGAAAACCATAACTTCCTTAACTACATATTCTCTCTAGATTAGCAATATTGGGAGGTGCTTGGGTAATAACCTCACAAAAGCCTTATACTGAAGGAAAGAGGACAGTGACAAACAGAAATGAACATCTCACTCTCAATTAATAGAGAGACAGAGAGATAGCTCAGCAGAATTAGCACTTGCCTGGCAAGTGCAAGGTCCTGAGTTCAGTCTCTAGTACAGAAAGACAGACAGACAGAGAGAGAGAGAGAGAGAGAGAGAGAGAGAGAGAGAGAGAGAGAGAGAGAGAACATACAGATTCATGGGACACACACAGAACAAGAATCTCTGACTCAGAGGAGATAACTAAAGAGCAGTCTCTTTGCAGAAAGGCTCTGATCACAGTGATACAGTTACCTACTATCAAACTTTCACAAAAACATATCACAGATATCAAAATAAAGAGTTCACTATGAAATAAAAAAGGCAAAAAGAAGGATCAAAATGCAATCTAAGGCCCTGAGCCCACCAAGAACGAATGCAGGAGACACTAGCATAGCAGAAATTGGAAGTCACACCCTTCGATCTCTGAAATAATAGCATCTGAAATAAGGAAGCAACTGCAGAAGTGTATAGAGGAATTCATGTCAGAAATAATAGCATACAAAGTAAAGAAACAACTATATAGAGGAAATAAGATCAGAAATAATCTTTGAAGTAAAAAAAGAGCACAACTATAATGAAAGAATTACTAAGCCTTTCTAAAGAAGACACTGATAAAAAATAGAGGAGAATAGAAACATGGAAACCTTGAATGAGCAATATAGAAAAGAAATAGAATGCATGAAGCAGATTCAAAGAGGTATTCAGGAGAATAAAAACTGAAAAGTTGGCAAAACCATGTGAATGAAAGTGAAGACAGACTTTCAGACCTTAAAGACACTGTTGCAGCTAGTGAAAAGGTGAGGAAAGATCTCTTAAAAACAACTAAGATCCAGGAAATAGTAATTCAACAGCTTCAAGATGATGCAAAGATGAACAACATAAGCCTAATTAGGCACCAGCGTGAAAGAAGGAGTCTACACAAATGATATAAAAAGAATATGGACAAAAGTAATAGCAAAAAGCTTCCCAAATATGGGGAAACAATCTGACATTCATGTAACCAAGGCATATAAAACTGCAGATAATATGAACCCAATTAGAATCACACCCAGACATATAATAATCAAGATCCCAGAAATTCAGCACAAGAGTAGCATGCTAAAAGCTTCTAAAGAAAAGAAACAGATCACATTTAAAGGAAAACCCATCAGAATAATGGAAAATTTCTCCTCACAAGCCATCCAATCAAGAAGAGTATAGAGATAAGTATTTCAAGTCCTACAAGTAAGCAGAATCCAACCCAGACTGATATATCCTGCAAAACCCTCTTTAGAGTATAATAGAGAAGTGAAATACTTCCACAACAAAGAACAACTAAAGAATTTTGTGATGACCAATCCAACCCTACACAGAGTACTAAAAATATTCTAGAAAGGGATCAAAATGACCAAAACTCCAAGAATGAAAACAGAAAGAACCTACTAAATAGTTCAAACAATTAAACACAGGAGAATAGTAGGTAAACAACAGCAGGAAAATACCATGACAAACAAGTCCACACATCTCAATTATAACCATCATTGTAAATGGACTAAATTCAGGAATTAAAAGAAATAGATTGGCAGAGTGGATTAAGAAACAAAATCCAATAATATGCTGTAGACAAGAATAACATTTAACTCAACAAAATTCAGAGACTAAAAGTGAAAGTCAAACAATGTTACATACCCCGGGACCTCAGAAAAAAGCAAGGGTAACAATCCTGTTTGTAGACAATCTGAACTTCAAACCAAGAATGATCAAACAAAATAAATAAGGCCATTGATATTGGTTAGGGGAAAATTCAAGAGGAGGAGATAACAGTCATAAATACAAATGCACTGAATATGGGAGTACCTAACTGCATAAGACAGATTTTAATGGACGTGAAAAATCTAATACCGAATACCACAATCTTAACAAGGGACCTTTACACTCCCTTATCCTTCAAAAAATAGATCAAGAAGACAATATTTAACAATCTTAGAAAAGTCCTCTATGACAGTCCAACAGCCAATATAATTCTAAATGTGGAAAAATCTGAAATCTTTTACTCTTAAATCAGGTAGAAGACAAGGATGTCCTCTATCACCACTCCTATTCAATATAGTTCTGGAATCATTAGCTAGAGCCATTAGATAAAAGAGAGAAATAAAAGGGAAAAGAATAGGTAAAGAAGAAGTTAAACTATCATTATTTGAAGACGATATGATACTTTACTTGAAAGACCCAAAAACCTCCACCAAGAAGCTTCTGGAATTAATACACGAATTCAGTAGCATAGCAGGTTACAAAGTCCATTCCCCAAAATCAACAGCATTCCTCTACACACATAACGTACTCACTAAGAGAGAAATTAGAGAAACAATACCTTTTACAATAGCACTCAATAAAAAAGAAATATCTAGGAGTTAATCTAAATAATGAGGTAAAAATCTACACAATGCAAATTACAGTACTCTGAAAAAAGAGATTGAAGACAATTTCTGGAAATGGAAAGATATTCCTTGCTTCTGGATAGGAAGAATCAACATTGTGAAAATGGCCATACTCCCAAAATTATTATACAGATTTAATGCAATCCCTATCAAAATACCACCAAGTTATGTCACAGATCTAGAGAAAACTTCCCTAAAATTTATTTGGAACCAGAAAAGGCCTAGAATAGCAAAGGCAATATTGGGCAACAAAGACAACGCAGGAGGCATTACAATCCCTGACTTGAAATTATACTACAAATCTACAGTGAAAAAATCATCAAGGTACTGTCTGAAAAAATAGGCCTGAGGATCAGTGGAATAGATTAGAAGATGCAAATACAACTGCAAACACAATCAGCCATCATATCTTTGACAAAGTTGCCAAACATGTTCACTGAAGGAAAGATAGGCTCTTTACCAAATGGTGCTGGAAAAACTGGCTCTCCACGTGCCAAAAGCTAAAACTAGAACTGGATTTATCACCATGCACTAAACTAAAGTCAAAATGGATTAAATATTTAAACATTAAGCAGAGGAACTAAATTTCTTGGAAGAGAAGATAGGTAGAAATCTTGAAGATATAGGGGTAGGCAGACAGTATATGAACAATAATCAAACTTCACAGGAAATAACAACTGCAACCCAATTTTATTGAGAAGTTCCTGTATGTCAAAAGTAATCATCAACAGAGTAAAAAGGCAATCTACAGATTTGGGAAAAGTCTTAACCAATAATCACTCAGACAAAGTTCTTCTATGTAGATTATATAGAGAACTAAAATTAATTATGGCCCCCAAAATTTAAAGACCCAGTCCAAAGATGGGCATCTGAAATGAATACACACTTTTCAAAGGAAGAAATACAAGAGACAAATAAATACATCAAAAAATTCTCACATCACTGGTCATTTGAGAAAAAAAAATGCAAGTTAAAATAACATTGAGATAGCATCTCACCCAGAAAGAATGGATATTATTAAGAAATCACTTAGTAACAATTGCTGGAGAGGCTGTGGGGAAAAAGGAACACTTCTCCACTGCTGAGAGGAATGTAGTTTGCTACAATCATTATGGAAATCAGTGTGGAGACTCCTCAAAAATTAGGAATGGAAATCCCATTCAATCCTTCTATTCCCCTTCTGGATATTTTCCCAAAAGAACTGAGAACATCATACCACAATGATATATGGGCACCCATGCTTATAGCAGCACAATTTGTCATAGCCAAATCTTAGAAGTAACCAAAAGGCCCATTGCCCAAGGAATGGGTGAAGAAGATGTGGTATTTTTATACAATAGTGTATTACTGAAGTATAAAGACAAACTTGAAGCACTCACAGGTAAGAGGATCCAACTAGAGGCTCTACTCATAAGTGAAATAAATCAGACCCACATGCTTAAATATTGTATTGTCTCCCAGTGTAAGAACCTGAAAGAAGAAATAAAACTTGTAAGGTATAACAGATATAGTAAGAAAGAAACAGAATTTAAGGATTAAGCAACAAAGATGAGAGAAAGGAGAGAAGAGGAAAAATGTAGGAGGAAAAATTTTATATATATATATATATATATATATGATGGCTGAGGTGATTGTACAAAAAAAATTCCATAAATTTTTTTGAAAATAGCAGTTAATGTGTTGAATTTTCACATTGACTAGCTTTGTGTGCTGCTATCTGCGATCTAAGCAACTACATTGTGGGCAGCAATGTATAATACAAAAAACATGCTTAAATACATGTCACCTTGGTCTACCATTTTTAATGCCATACCCGTTATTACTAAACTCTCTTTAAAATATTTTTTACTTCTTATTTATGTTTTTGGTACAGGGTCTCCCTGTGCAGCTAGGACTCATATTGATCCTCCTGTTTTCTGCCTCCCTAGCGCTGGGATTATAGGCATGCACCACCATGCCCGGACTTGGTCACAGTTCAGGGTTCCCAGGGTGCAGGACCAGCTCAGCATGTGGGACCAGGGATCCAACTCTGGTCCCTGCACTTGCCAAAGCAGGTGCTTAGTTTGCTGAGCTACCTCCCCAGCCCTAAAATAAAATTTTTAAAAAGGTAATAAAAGAAAAAAAAAGAGACAAGAACAAAAATTTGAGCAAACAGTAATATGCAATCATACCTCCAATCTAACATATCTGTTAATCTGAGCAATAGTTTTGATGATAAAACTAGATAATACATTAACCATTGCTAATCAGCTATTCTTGATTTGAAATTCTGTAAAATATGTACTGTTGCATGCTACTCTTTCTCTTTGTTTCTGATTTTTGTTCTTACTTTTGTTTTTACTTTTCAAAATTAAATTAAATTGTGAAAGTAATAGAAATTGTTAGACACTGTTTGGCTAGTGCAATTATTCTAGTGATGGTGAAGTATAACAATTATTATTTCAATATATAAAATATAGTGACATTTGTTTTTGAGTGCAAAGATAGATATGCCAATGTTATATCTTTGTAGGGTTTGGTCATGAGAAGAGCTTATTTAGTAGAGAGTGGTGTTCCTATTTTGTTAGTGCTTTCTAGAGGAATGGATTGATAGAAAATGTATGTATAAATTATTCAAGAAGATATATTATGTAGGCTTACCTGATAAGAGGCTGCAGAACCCACAGTGTGCATGCTGGAGAGTGGAGGGTCCAGGAACTGCTCAGCCCAAGAAGATGGGATTTGCTGAAAAGTATTCAGGGGTATAGGGCCGGTCCAAGGCAAAAGATCTGAGAGCTTGCTTGAGAGATGGGATGTAAATATGCTATGTAAGGACAAAGAACTGGACACTCAGAGGCCGTGTCCCAGGTGACTTACAGGGTCTATAGCTCCACTGGCTCGGGAAGACTGGACAGCTTCCAAATAGTATGTATCCTAGTTTCATTTTTCATTCCATCCAGGCTACAAGCCTAATGGTTGGTGCCGTTCCTTAATAGGGTGAGTCCTGCACCCTCAGTGCACTGGTCCAGATGTCTGTTATCTAAAGACCCACTCAGAACTGTGCTTTAGCAATCTGCTAGGCATTTCTCACCCCAGTCAAGTTAACATATCACAATTAATGGTCACAATAGTACATCTAATTCTTCAATGTAAAAGTAAATGTAGCATGTGAATGCTTATGTTTATATTTATATGCCTCCCTCATTTGGGACTGATAGTAACAGGATTTTTATTTGATTATGATAACTCACTTGACTTTTTGTGTTAGAATAACATTTCCTAGGTTTAAGCTTACCAAATACCATGCTCCTTCAGATGGTAAGCCTGTATTTTTAATGCAGCACATCACAAATAGCCCTGCATAAGGCAATAATATATTGAAAGTTCACACATTTTCTGACGAGGTGAAGCAAGGTTTATTTGCAAGCTCTCAGGCTCATTTGCTTTTATTGCTACCCATCTGCTACAGTTGGTTTGTCATCCTTAGTGTGATGGAGTGACAGTCCATCTAACTCAACCTGCAGTTCGCAGTCCATTTAACTGGGTCAGTGGCTGGTTGTGTCAGAGGTTTGGTGCATGTGTGTGTGTGTGTGTGTGTGTGTGTGTGTGTGTGTGTGTGTGTTGGGAATGTAATTTCCTGTGTTTTCCTTTTTGCTAAAACAAAACTAGTCCAAGCATGACCCTAGTATTACACATTGCTATCCTCGGTGCAGTTGCTTAGTTCTCAGGTATCAGCATATAGAGTTAGTCAGGGTGAGAATCCTACCAATTAACTACTAGTTTCAAAAATCTGATGGAGATTCTCAGGACCATTGCCTCAAACATCTTGTGCATATGAATGTATGGTTTTATACCTGCCCTGTTTCCTAGCTTTTTTCCTTGCTCTCTCTTTGCTATTTAATCCTAAAGTATGGAATACCCATCTCTCATAAAATTTTTTAAAAAAGGGGATATAAGTGAAGGACCATTTTGTAGTGAAAAAATATATATATAAATTAGTTAGGTTAGATATACAGCTACTTTCTCTTAGTTCAATGAGAAGAAAGATTTGTACTAATAGTGTTTAGACAAGATATCATGTCTGCATCTTGTATTATGAACAACTACTATCAAAACAACAATATGCAATGTATTAATTATTATAACTGTCCTACTGACCTGTTTCGAAACTGTCTCATTGCTATTTCTTTATCAATAAAATTAATGATAAAATAAATAAAAAATAAAACTAGTCAACTAGCAACAACAAAGTTAAGTCCTTTACAATAGAAAATGTGTTGGATGTCAATCTGCAGTCAGATTTAGCTAACTTAATAAGAATTTTAGAAATGTCATTTGTCTCAAACTATGATGATGGTTTTCTACCAAACAGGTGAGGTCTTTCAGAGTCAAGCAGCACCTTTTGTGTCACCAAGTGACACAAAAAATAATGGATAATTGTTAAACACAATTAATATTGAAGAGTGAAAGATGGGGAAGAAATTTAACCATTTTATATGCTACTGTTTTGTTTAAATTTTTAAAGAACAACACTACATTTGAATTATAAAATAGCAACAGATAAACAGGTAAGGATAGATATAACTTTGTAACTCCCCTTTGTAATCACTAATTGAGCCAGTACACAGACAATAGAATTGGAGAGCAACTGGGATCTTAACCATCTACACTCTAATTTATATAAATCTCTGCAGTCGACTATCTTATGTAAAATTTAGTAAAAATTTATTGCACATAGTTGCTATTAAATGTCAAATAAGATTTTAAAATATAGAAAAAATTGAAGTTACTGTACAGGTTCTCCTATGTCCTCAGTCTTCACTGACCTTGAAAGGCCAGGGCCAAAATGTTGGCTGACCTTGCAGCCCTTCCTTTTCTCCAATTTTTGATCTGCAAACTTAGGTTGTTAATCCTCCAGAAGAGAAGCTTATTATTACCCTGCAACAACATATGCAGTTCGGTTTACCCTAACCATCTGTCTAAATATCAAACATCTTAGGCATAACGTGGAGCAGGTATTTTCCATCAAGTACTGATGTGTAGAACTTTAGGTCCTTACAGAATATGAAGAAAACAAACATTTTAAAAAATAGGAATAAACACATATTTCTACACAGAAACTTAGAAATCTAACCATATACAGCATTGTAGCAGGACAGTCCTGTGACATTATTTTTTCTTTTTCTTGTGTCTTTTTTTTTCATTTATTAGCCATTTAAAAAAAAACTTTTACTTGAGAGACAGTATGGTAATAATTGGTATGTCATGACAAGAAGTATGTATTTAGGAGACCAGAATGACAGGCATTCCAAGCGTGACCCTTCTATCACACATTGCTATCTTCAGTGCAGTTGCTTGGTTCACAGGTATCAGCATGTATAGTTAGTCAGGTGGAGAATCCTACCAATTAACTGCTAGTTTCAAAAACCTGCTCATGTTTCTCAGGATCATTGTCTTGCCCATCTTGTGCGTAAGAATGCATGGCTTTGTCCCTCTCAAGTTTCCCAACTTTTCTTCTTACCCTCTCCTTGTTGTCTAATCCTCAAGTTCTTGCTTTCCTTTTAGTTGTGTTATACCTTTCTATATGTATTTCTTCTTTTGAGTTCTTATACTAGGGAGACTATATGATATTTACACATGTGGCTCTGGTTTATTTCACTTATGAGTATATCTAGAGGGGTACACATATCTAATTTTCACCATATCTCCGTTTTCTGTTTCTTTCTTTATTTTCTGACCAACTGTGAGCAAATTCTGATATTTCTGGACCATTCCTTTTCTTTATTTGACTTCTGGGAATTTCTTTTCTTTGTCGTTCACATTGTATAAATCAGGTGAATTTCACGGAACACAAAATGAACCACTTAGTACACTCACAGCATTATGCCACCACCACCACCACAGTTTCAAGGCTATGAAAGAATTTCTGGTACCAAATAAGCAGAGGTTTCCTGATCAACCCTTGGGAAC